AGCACAGCTTGAAATGTGATACAAGATGGCATGATGAAGGTCAGTGGGGGGGGGGGGGTGAATCAGCTCCAAACTTAACACACAGTGATTCAGGGTGACATGAAGGGGTTTAGAGCCCCATCTAATTTCGTAACAACTACCAAATCAGCACAAATCGACACAGTGGTACAGGATGACGTGGGGAAGGTCATGAGGGTGGTTGGACTCCATCTTATCTATATGAATAAACGTCAATGTGTGTATGTGTGTATTTTTTTCTTTTACGTTTCCACATTTGTTGATCAATCAGCACCAAACTTGATACAGTGATATATATTATGACATGAGAAAGGTTGGACCCCCCCATTTAATTTCATATCTAAATTAGGAAAAACTACCAGATCAGCAAAACTTGACACAATGATACAGGATACCTTTTTAACCCTGACGGTGATAATATAAGAAACGAAATTTTACAGGAGTCTGGATACTAATGCACTGAAGTAATCGAATAATAACAGGAATGTTTACTCTTTAGATCAAGTGTATGCTCATTATCTCCGGAAATACTAATGACAATAAGTAATAAACGTACGATAAAATGTAGAACTAAGAATTTTTCAAATGCACGAGCCTTACTGCTCCGGCCCATATTTACAAACTAGAATAATGGGGGGAGGGGTATTAATACTTATATATTCTAATAACAAAATTTTAGAAGAATTATTTTAAATATCTACTTATTGTTGAGCGCGAAGCTACACAATGGGCTTGCCTATCACAGTGATCGATCCCCGATTGTTAGCAGTATAAGTTCTTAAGCTTGCCACTGAGCTACCAGTGGGCTTTTTTCTTTCTTTCTTCTTTTTATTTTAATTTACAAAATTTTATTCATTCACTGGATAACCTCTGGTGAAAATACAGAATTACGAAATGTATTTAGGTAGACACCTAATGGCGGAAACAAGCAATAAAAAGTGTATTATTGTATATACACTATGTATTGTCTAATTTCAACCGAAACTGTACTGAAACGTAATTAACTTACTTAATGAGCATTTTTTCTCCGAGTAGAGTCTGTTTTTTCACCAGAAGCTTTATACATGTATATTTTAAATTAAACTAGATGAGCTTCGGCAGGGTGCCCGAAAGTGTTCTGTTTCAAGATTAAATAAAACCAAAATTATGAGTAACAATATTTTTATTTCTTGATTTTGAAGTTCATATGTCATGCTCTTGTAGCCTACAGAGTGCATAATTCTTCTCGTAATCCATGACATACGTACGTTACACTGACGTCACGACAGTATAAATTGCAACGTTAAGCGTCCTTTAGTGTCTACTGACTAAATGACAGACAACACCCTACTGTATAATGGTGCGAGTGGTTAAACAGGTGAACCCTCCAGGCAGCCTTAGGCCCCCTTGCGGGAAAATGAGTACCTCCTTTCAACAAAGGAAATTTCTTAATCCAAGTTCAATTACATAACGGAAACGTAATGAAATAGTAGTTCCCTTGTTTATCAAACATAAATAAAAAATGAAATTTGGACAAATGGACTATCTGTATATCCGTAAAATTATATCTGACTCACCAGAAACTGTTGGCCGAATACCGGTAATACGTTTACTAATAAAAAAATCCAATTATTTTTCCACAAGGTTAAAATTTAAAATTTGGTGCCACCAACACGTCTACAAGTTAAAGTCCTGCAGGGTGTTATTTCATTGGATGCAGAGAGGGGGGGGGGCGGAAGCGTTATTCTAAAAGTATCATTCTTAGTATACGTTGTTGTTTTGAATTTACAAGTTTTCTAATCGAATATTCTAATCAATCGATAAAAATCTTGCAAAGATACTTGACGTAAGATAGTACAAGTTCACTTAGAAACTAGGTACAACTTTGTAGTTCTTTTATTTCAAACATAAATTGGGCTGCAAAGGATTTTGAAATCGATTCAACATTTTTATAAAACGTAATCGGATATTCGACGGCCATTTTGAATCCGATATTAAAAAATATTACAAAACTAATAGGTAGAGATAATATGGTTAATATATTTCACCCTTTTCTAGAAACAATGTTTACATGGATTTGTTCCTGATTTAACGGGTCAGTTAATTTTGTATTATGTGAATGACTGTTAAAAATACAATCCAGTGTGCGACTCGCACCTGTTGTAAGTCACGTGACATGTACAAAATTACAGTAATTATTCAATATAATTGAGTAATTAATCATTTAAAGGTTTGCGTGTGTGTGTGTTCAGGGATAAACTTTCGTATCCAAACAAAATTATCCTTTCTATTCCCGAACTTACTGATTTTATGATTTTCAAATGGATTTCCGTGGGAAATTGAATCGGATGCGATTATACGAGCAATCATCGTAGGCCTAACTAGTTATAAACGGTGTTATCAGAAATTTTATCAATTTAAAACCAATTCCATGAAAAGTAGCACTCTGGTGGTGATGAATAACACAAATATAATGTTAAAAAGAATCGAACACACTAGGCGTCTCAAAGAAAGTTTATTCAATTTTACAAAAGAGAGAATAAAATAAATATGCTGTTAAGTTAGAGGTATGTGTCATTAGGACTGTTACATTAAATATGTCAAACACCGTTTACAAGAACAAAAACAGTTACATTTTATTCAACCATTAGTTTAAACAAAATATTATTCTTAAAAAAAATTAAAGGCTCTTCAGATATCACTGATTACGATTATAGTTACTTTGTTTTTATTAAAGATACATAGAACTTTCTTTCTTAACGAACATGTCAGGCCTAGTGTTTTAAGAAGAAAAAATAAATAAACAATGAAACCGTGGTCTACCTACTTCTCCTGCCAAGTTGTCTTCAAAATTTAGTAAAAACCGAAAGAAGTATTTCGAATTTAATACCAGGGCTTGGACGTCAGTCAATGTTTGCAGATAAAACATAATAGGACGTTAAGAAAATGCCAATGATATGAATGTGCTACTATTTCTTATCTTTTAATTCTAAATTTACTTGTTGCGTCCTCTTTAGAAACTTGTCTAAGTATTTACAAATATAACAATCACAACTGTCGTTTACTGCATTGTATAGATGTACACTGCATGAATATATGAGAAACAACCGTACACAAAACGGAAGTAACCAAAGTATTAAAAACATCGTACAAACACGAGTGGAAAGTTATACGATAATCGTTAAACAATGATCAAATAACGCGAGCCCACCACCTCGTACGATAAAACAATAAAAACATCACTTATTGTTACGCCAGACCAACAGAAGGTTCGGGAGACTTGTGTATAAAGACCTGACTTCTGGTCGTAGTAACAAAAATCAAGCTAAAAACTTACCTTCTGTACAAATGCTGGACACCGTGCGCCTGGAGCCACTGCTGTAAAACGATCTGTCGCCGCAATTCTTCTCCAGCGTGCATAAGAGAAGCACGGGCCGTTGTGGGAAGTTTCTGCAAATCGCCGATAGGGTCGTTGAAGAAATCGGCGGTTGCCATGAGCGACGCACAGCGCACGAGAGATGTACATCCTGCTGTACCACATCCACGGCAATGACGACATCAACAGCGAATAGGGAAAAGGAAAGACACGTATTAATATTACTGTATTTCTGTCTGAAAAACTGATATAAGTAACGACTGAAAAGAAATACAACGATAATACAAAAAACAAAAGTTAAACTGTGTATATAAATTTTTCTCTGTTGCAGCACTGAATATTACGCGTTCTGCAGAGAGAACTACATTATATGTATAACCAGGTCTTCTTAAGGCGCACTATGCCCGTAGAATTCCAAAGGATAGACAGATAACTCTCCTTAATATTTCCTGAAAGTTGTGTATCTTTACGACTATCGTTATAACCGTCATCTTAATATTCTAAGCATTCTTCTTCTGATTCTATAAAATCTTTAACTACAGCATATAATATATGAACTATATTCTCCCAGTTTTCTTTTTACTTTCAAGCATTACAAGAATACAATCACAATGCTGATGAATGTCTGCACAGCGATGGTGTGATAGCGCCATCTACTTACTCAAGTAATTGAATATAACGAGTTTCAACCACGTCCATATTGGAAAATATCAAGAGTGGTTAGGAGCACCTGGTTAAAAAATAACAATTGTTACACAAACACAAGTTGGTTCACAAATGTGACACAACGTGATGATAGCAAATGTACAAATACAAGTTGGTTCACAAATGTGTCACAACGTGATGATAGCAAATGTTGTACATATACAAGTTGGTTCACAAATGTGTCACAACGTGATGATAGTAAATGTTGTACAAATACAAGTTAGTTCACAAATGTGTCACAACGTGATGATAGCAAATCCGTCCAGTTTCTTTCGCCAACATGTCCATTCAACAAACTATTAAAAATGGAGCCAAAACCAAATATACTGTGCTTAAAGCTACTAACTAATGACTTTAATTTTGCTTTTATTTTGCTTCAAAAACGTTTAAATGGAAAATACTGGAGTCTTGTAGAGTTCACCTTATAATAATCAATATTAATTTCCGATCAGAGCAACCTAACTACTGTAAGGGAGAGGGGGGGGTATGGTAGAGCTAAATAAATATACTTTTCTTTCGTTCTTTCGTAAATTGAGCCCAGCAAAATTGTCCTTATAGTAAACCATGTTCATCAAACTTGTCCTTGTAGTAAACTGAATCCTGCAAGGTTGTCCTTATAGTAAACAGGACCTGCAGAGTGGTCCTTGTAGTAAACTGAATGCTGCAGAGTGGTCCTTGTAGTAAACTGAGTGCTGCAGAGTGGTCCTTGTAGTAAACAGAGTGCTGCAGAGTGGTCCTTGTAGTAAACAGAGTGCTGCAGAGTGGTCCTTGTAGTAAACTGAGTGCTGCAGAGTGGTCCTTGTAGTAAACTGAGTCCTGCAAGGTTGTCCTTGTAGTAAAGAGAGTGCTGCAGAGTGGTCCTTGTAGTAAAGAGAGTGCTGCAGAGTGGTCCTTGTAGTAAACTGAATGCTTCAGAGTGGTCCTTGTAGTAAACTGAGTGCTGCAGAGTGGTCCTTGTAGTAAACAGAGTGCTGCAGAGTGGTCCTTGTAGTAAACTGAGTGCTGCAATTCTTCACGGTCACTACACTTTATTGTAAAAGCCACTAGCACTGTGTATACCACAAGCCATGCACATAAGAACTGACATTAAAAACACCGCCAGAAACTTATTCAATTATTCTTACTACTTCGAGATAAAGATGTGATCAAACGTAAACACACACAAGTTACGAAAATAAAGGCTTGGTTAGCCTAACGCGCACAGTTACAACATCAAGAACACATTACCTCCTCATATACACATCAGAATAAAAGCATTGTTACATTCAACCGTTCACTCAACAACTGCAACAACAAAAACCACGTGCATTCATTCACGCGTACACGCATCAGTCGCTAAATTAAAGCCATTGTTACAGTTAAATGTACATGATAATAGTTTACAATAATAAAAGCACTGTTACATTCAAGCAAACACACATACGCTGCAACAATAAAAAAATCTATATTCAGACACCATTTACAATGACACAATCATATTTACACACCTCAGCTTCCGCAATAAAAACACCATTATCCTCCCCAATACATATAATTACAGGCAAAGCGTATTTTTTTCTCTTTTATAATTGAAACTTCTTTGGACAAGCACTTTTACTCAAGGAGCCCAAAATTGACACCCGGCATACAAAAATTAAAGCAACGAGCAGAAATGCGCCCTACGGGCGGTTGTTTGTGTTAGTAATTACTCATTGTAGTATTCATACCTCATTTAAAAATTAAAAATAAATTAGAAAAAGTGAACATTTCTAAAAAAGAAAGGATTTTTCTGGGAAGTACTGCACGGGGAAAGTGTTTGGATTGTGCTGATATAAACTGTAATATTTTTATATATTAAAAGTGGTCGCTTTTATTGATAAAAATAACATTTTTTTTAAGAACTCCATGTTTTAATAATATATTTACAAATTACATCAATAAAGATATAATCAAACCCTCACGTAAAGTCCTAGTGAAAGTCGTGTTCTTGTTGTGAGGAGAGTACTTTTATTTAAAATTGTGTTCTGTGATAAATAAATGGTTGTTGTACATACTGAAGTTATTTTTCTAATTGTCTGAATCTTGAATACTCAAAATATTTATATGAATTTTTATTTGTGGTGCCACTCAATAGATGGCGATGCATTGTAATTATTATTTCGATCATATACCTAAATAGATACACATATACACGCTACGTCCATTATAGGAAGCTAGTCACTGAAGACGAATAATTTTGAGGATATTACATGATGATATCTGAAATTACACTGCAATTATGTTTTCATTGTTGTGAGTGGTAACACCTTCTTGGGACACTGCTGAATGGAAGGCCTAATAATGACGAAATCACACACATAGACCGTAAACAAAAGCGAAATTAATAAACCAATAAAGTATTGCAAATTCTGCGTTACTGGTGCGTCTCTGCAACGAGTTATTTTGATAAAAAAAAACAACAACTAAAATTAACGCTACGTGGTGCACAATATGTTATAAAGTTGCAAATTTTAGTTCGTTTTAAATTTCGCACAAAGCTACATGAGGGCTATCTGCGCTAGCCGTCCCTAATTTAGCAGTGAAAGACTAGAGAGAAGACTGCTAGTTATCACCACCCACCGCCAACTCTTGGGCTACTCTTTTACCAATGAACAGTGGGATTGACCGCCACTTTATAACGCCTACACGGCTGAAAGGACGAGCATGTTTGTTGGGACGTGGATTCGAACCCGCGACCCTCAGATTGCGAGTCAAGCGTCTTAACCACCTGGCCATGCCGGGTCTGCAAATTTTATAGCACAAACATAAACGACAAACATGATGACGATTTCACAATTTGTTTAATCGAGAACAGACGCGCCATAAATAATCATAAAAAGAACAAAAGAAGGTAAAGACTGTAAACAAACCCCCTTGTGGAGAACTAAAAAATGTTTAGGTTCAGGAGAAAATTGAAAGTAGAAGTGCGGAAAATGAGACAGGAGCAGGGCTGTAGCAAAGGGAGTTACAAGGGACAAATGTACTCAAACCCATCAACTCAGAAGTCCCAACGACACCTGCTTATGGGCCAATCACTAACTATAAAAAGCTTATTATCTTTGTCAATCTATCTAGAACGCTTTCACGCTCCTTTTTTAGTAATGCTCAACAATATACATCGTCGCTTAGCAACAAAACTATCACCTGATTGTTCTTAGGCTAACTATGGTGTTTATGTTGAATTACCAATATTCATGTTGATTTGTTTGAAATATTTGTTATTATTTTTATAACTTCGTTGACATGGGTGATGTTTATGTATTAAATTAGACTACAATTAGGCCTACTATTACTAGCGTTATAGAATCAGTGTTTAAAAAGTTTTAACTTATGAATAAATGTTAATCAATAAATATTGTTTTGGTATTTTAACACATATATTACCTACTTGGCCTTAAAACATAAAGAAAAATAAACGTTTATTACTACCAAATATCTTTTATCCTTTGTACAATTGAAAGAGATAAAAATTTGTGTCGGAATTTCCGCACTATGTTTTCTACTTCCTGACCTGGAATACAGTGAAAAGGCTCAAGAGTGCTATTTAAGTCGCTTTCACGAACTTTTGTTCACGATAACATTTCATTTTTCTGTGTAGTTTTTACTAAAAATGTAGTGATTAAAGAATTATTTCGAGACTGATGAAATATGTGAAGAGTAGGTACATTCTGGAGGTACAGATAAATTCTTTTTAATTAAATTATATAATTTTTTAATCATTCAACAATGGTTTACCGTCATGTTTGACGGGCTTTTGTACTAGTAATAATAATAAAAGGATGAGAATTGTGCTAGACAAGACTGACAACTAATGGGTGTGGACCAAAAATTTCATAGGGGATGTTATCTTTGGGGGATTGTACCCCAGGAGGTATGTACATAGCATGCGTTTGAACACTTACCCAAAAAACTACTGTCAATTTTGTAACGGTAACCGGCTACGGTTCAGGCACGTGGTTGGGTACTCACCCACTGGAGTGCCTATTTACTACGTAAAAAACAAACAAACAACCTCTGATTTCAGTAATAAAATAATCGATACAAACGTCAGATACAATAATAACAAAACTGATGGATCCGTTCATATTCACGAGTTGCATCTATAAAACTATCGGCAAGTTCAAACATTTGATGTAATCATAGATAAACATTTACATAGAGTGGTTCATTGGTTTAACTGGTAAACACGGTCCTGTCTCCACGAACACGCATTATATTAAAAACAGCAGAGACAGACAGACACCGATGTTGAATAGATTCAAACACTGCGCAAGCGAGCTTACAGCAGTGTTCCGTTTTCTTGTTAATTTATTAGAATGGAAGAAAAGGTTACGAATATCTTCTTTAGTTGTTTTTACATTATGTTACTATACGTACTTGTGCAGGGTCCCCGAAAGTGTTCTGTTCCACGAGTAAATAAAATCAAAA